TGGGCAAAATGCCAAATGACCTTCCTAAGGCAACACAATCTGGGATTAAGGACTAGGCAGAGTTCAACCCGCAACCTTCTGCATGGCAGGCAGAAATCTAGTAATCGCACCACTTTAACCCTCTGATTCTGACTAAGTTTAGAAATTTAGGGGTGTCGTCAGCGTATGGGTTTAGGTCAGCAAAGCCGATTCATGTAACACAGTTGTCTTACAGTTTTAAGACCATTTTAAGCGGATGCGCTGTCAAAATATTAACTACAGTAGGTCACATGGGGCACTGTAGACCAATCAGAGGCCTTTTTCTAATGTTAAATTACAACAGTTTGGAGATAAAAGAACATTTAAATGCCATTTTACCTGTGATTATAAAACCTATGAAGGAGCAAACATTTAAACCGGACTTAACTGCTGATGCCAGGAAGCATAACTTCTCCAATGGCACTGCTATAACACACACACACTCAACACAAACATATGCACGATCATACTGTAAATGAGGTTTGAATCGATCAGCTCAAACATACTGTGTGGAAAATCTCTGCACGAAGAGCTCCAGGAACATGTGGAAGAAGGATGTGAATAATTCGCACATTAACATGTAACGGCTACTGACATCTTTAATCTCTTCAGCACTGTTCTAGTTAATGTGCATTTTATCTCGTCAGGCACGAAGCATGATTAAGTCAGGGCGCTGTGGAGACGTGTGAGTGCAGAAGAGAATGATTGGGAAATCTAGGCAATAAACATTTTAAGGTGTTTTAGAGCTGATGCTGTGTCTGGTCTCAAGATCCTGAGCTAAATGAAATCGTTAGACGACTTTGAGCAGGAAATCGCGTGTTAGGAAAAAAGATTGTGCGATGAGAGAAAAGTGACTGCTTCATTTTTGCGTAGGCGTCAAGGTCAAGCTGCAGCACACAGTCGACAGAAGCACACAGAGCAAAAGTAATGGGAGCTAAGGGCATTCAGCTTCCTGCATAAATTAACAAGAGCGTGGAGAAGAGGGGAGGAAAAAGGGGGAGATGGAGGAGAAAAAGCATCATGGAAACTTTGCGGTTTTCTCAAATGAGTCTCTTCCCAGCGACTGGGTTGGATCAAAGTGGGAAGGACACGGGGCGACTCTGGAAGATTGTTTTTCTCAAAGGTAAACACTTCGCTGGAACCACACCTAAACTCTCATTCACAAAACGTTCCTTTCTTTAACGCTAAATTCCAGACGTGAACCCTCCTAAAAAGGCCAACTGACATCATTTCTTTTCCAAATACTTTGTCCAAAATGTGTGGATTTTTTTTTTTCCCTTTCTCTCTGAACCAGCTGTGTTTGAACTAAGGACCAGCCGTCTGTGTCTGCTCCGTTTACACACCCCAGAATGTTACCTGTATGGTCGCGTTTTATGGGGGGAAAAAAATCACGATTTTTTTTTCTTT